AAATAGTAAACAAACAAAAAATACACTTTAGTATAAGTTTCAATTTATATGGTAAATTCAACATTGTATCCAACATTGTATCCACTGGTCCGATTTAAATGAAATGTACAAGAAAATTATTGAGGACGATCAGACCTTACTAAAGGTATTCTTTGTCATCACAACATTAAAATAAAAGGTGGAAAACAGCGTGTAAGAAGTTAACTCTTCGACCTCAAAAACTATTTTAAAGCTTCTATCATCTATAAATGAGATCAAATTTAATAAAATAAGGCTAGATCCATATTACAATACTAAATGAATTTTAGGGTTTAAGAGATATAATTTAAATAAAGTAGTGGACAAATGTTAAACAATTAAACTAAAATAATTTTTAAATTTTATTTATGACTAAGTACTACCATTAAGTTTTATAATACCCGTAATGTCTACTATAAGAAAAATTTAACTTCAGCCAAATCGGCCCTTATTTGCAGATTTATGAAGCTTTAATATATTTTTTATAATCGATTTAACTCCACGTACCTCACCTTGTATTTTAAGAAGGTGGTAACAAAGTAAATTTTCAGCAATACTAAATTGTCACTAATAATTTTCTTATACATTTTATTTAAATTGGTCCTATAGTTTACGATATAGAAGAGAGTTTAGGTATCCTCATACCATGTATTTTTATAATTTTTTTTTTGGTCTGGAACTGGATTCCGGTCAAAAAGTTATTGATTTGAGGAACACTTTCAAACCATAATATGTGGGAAATTTCATTAAAATCGAAAATGGTAAATCCGAAAATATCTGTTTTGTTCTGTCCGTTTTAATATGGATTCTCCCAATAGGCTTAAAAAACTTTAAAAGAAAGATAATAATGACGCGTTGTGTGTAACTTGCAGCTTGTAAAGCGCAAAAGGTTTGAAAAGCGTAAAACGCGTTGCCGCCTCAATGCGTGTTGTGTATTTATATGTAATTAATTTATTTTTGCAGCAAATATTTGAACCCAGCAAACATTTAGTCATGACTTTGCTTTACTTACTTTTCAATGACTACTTTTTACCATCTGCATTACTTTTTATACCCACCATCAAAAAAGATGGGGGGTATATTAATTTTGTCATTCCGTTTGTAACACATCGAAATATTGGTCATAGACCCACAAAAGTATATATGTATATTCTGGGTCCTCATTAAATTCTAAGTCGATCTAGCCATGTCTGTCCGTCCGTCCGTCCGTCTGTCTGTCTGTCTGTTGAAAGCACGACAGAGTCCCAATGGAAAGAGCTAGAGGGTTGAAATTTTACATAAATATTTCTAACAGGTAAGGTTTGTTTGGTATTGAAAATGGGCAATATCGGTCCACATTTTCTGATAGCCCCCATACAAGTGGCACCTCGAAAAGCGGCTTTAACAGCCATAACTTGTTTAAAAATACGAATATAGCGATAAAATTCGGCATAAGGAAGTTTCTTATGATCCAAAATCATTATGCAAAATTTTCTGAGGATCGGTTCATAATTGACCCTACCCGCCATATAAGGTCCCCTTCAGGAAATGACTTTAACGTTCATTACTGGCTTAAAAATACTAGTATATAGATGAAATTCGACATAAGTAAGTTTCATACGAGTCAAAATCTATCTAAAAAATTTTATGAGGATCGGTCCATGATTGACCCTACCCCCCATATAAGGTCCCCTTTAGAAAATGACTGCAACGCTCATTAATGGCTTAAAAATACGAGTGTAGCGATGAAATTCGACACAAATAAATTTAATACGAACCAAATTCTGTCTACCAAATTATATTAGGATCGACCCATAATTGACCCTACCCCCTATATAAGGTCCCCTTCAGAAAATTGCTTTAACGCTTATAACTGGCCTAAAAAATACGAGTTTATAGATGAAGTTCGACACAAGTAAGTTTCATTCTAGTCAAACGAGGTTTGATGGTTGGTATATAAGATTAGGCATTGCCGAATATAACACTCTTACTTGTTAGTAGCCTAGTAATGACATACATCGGTTAACCGATAAATTTTTTCGATTAACTGTTCAAATAATTGAAAATTGCCAAATTTCAAATAACAAATAAATTAGTTATTTTGTTTCAATTAATCGATTAGTAAATTTTTATGGTTAAAATTACTATAGTTTCATACAAAATTTAACTTCTTTTTTATATCCTACACCACTTTAGTGGGGAGGGTATATTGGGTTTGTGCTGATGTTTGTAACATACAAAAATATTCATCCTATACCCACACCTTAAAGTATACCAATCGGCTTAGAATCGTTTTCTGAGTCGATTAGGCTATGTCCGTCCGTCTGGCTGGCTGGCTGTCCATGTAAACCTTGTGCGCAAGGTACAGGTCGCAATTTTCAAGATAATTGGATAATTTGGCACGCACGTTTTTTTTGGCCCAAGGACGAAGCCTATTGAAAATGGTTAAAATCGGTCCATTATTTCACCTAGCCCTCATAGAACAGAACCCCCCGAAAAGGGCTTCTGAGCTCATAATTATGTTAAATATACAGGTATATCGATAAAATGAGGCACAACTAAGTTTTATAGAAGTCTGCCAAATTTCATAAAGATCAGGCCCCATTTGATCCTAGCTCCCATACAAAGTCCCCTTCAGAAAATTACTTGAATGTCGATGAAATTCCGCACAATAAAATATTATGTAAATATAAATATATTCACAAAATTTTATCGGGCTTGGTCCATATTTGCCCCTAGCCCCCATATAAAGTCCCTTTCATATAAATCACATTTAATATTCATAACTGGTGTAGGGTATCATATGGTCGGCCACGCCCGACTATACTTTCTTACTTGTTTTTTGTTTAGTTTGAGGAAAGATATTTTGTATAAAAAATTAGTATGTATTTCTTTAAGTTTTTTATTCACAACTAATATTTTACGCCAAAGAAAAATAGTATTGATTATGCAACTAGTTCTACTTATACATATAGCATGTACTCGTTTTAATTTGGGACCAGTGATTCTTCCAACGAAAATTGTCAGCTTCGTTCGTATGTTTATTTAAAATTTCTATTGAGCAGAAAAAAACATAATGGACAAATACGCAAATAATTATCAATACATACTTTAATTTATTGAAAATTTAAATAAAACAAGAACTTATAATGTTTTTTAAATATTCAATAGTTTATTCACCCCCTTGATGACAATAATACAATTTTAATCTATAAGTCACGAAACTAATTTGCAAACTCTGAACCAATTTCTAGTCACGATATATGTACATATGTATAAGTTTATAATATATGATATGTATTTTTGTATACACATTTCTTAAATATTACATAAATCTTGCGAGTGCTTGCGTCAACTTTGCAGATGACACCCTTTTATGTTTTCCCATTGTACAGTGGTAAATATGACAAAATGAAATTAAAATTTCTAGGTAGCATCGTTAAATTTCATTTCAAAATTATATTGTAAAGTATCTATTTTTCGATTTTTAATATGAATTATTTTTAACAAACTCAAAATATATCATCAATACTAAAAGCAAACAGTCGGACGTACGATCTTAGTTAAATTTGGATCCAGATCTGACTAATGTGCACGTCTAATATGCACTTTAAATGAAACCTTATAAATATTTCTTTTTGTTTTTTGAATATTTTTTTAAAATATAAGTGGATTCCCTTTTCATTCTCATATTATTACACAGTTCGACAATCAAAATTAGACATGAACCGGATGATATACATACGTTTGAAACTATAAATTTAATGGAGAAAAACTGCGATTTAGTTTTTCATTTCGTAATCCTGTGTCCTTTTTAAAGGACATCAAAGTTTTAAAAAGTAAATTTTTCAAAAAATATTTTAAAATGCTTCTACTGATCAAATAATGCCAAATTTGATATCAAGCTAACATACATATCTTGTCAAAAGCATCGACTTTATTGAAATGAAATTCAAAAAGGCGTAACAACGAATTAGTCATTTCCACAAACCAGAAAGTCCTAAAATGCAAGATAATAGACAGTGTCTGGACCCACTTACATATGTATATTCAAACATGTTTATTGATTACACCCTGTAACAATTTTGAAAAAAAAGCTTTCACAAATGGAAAAGTTGTTATGCATGTGAAACTAGATTCCATTTATAGCAATTCTGCGTACTCCGGAAAATTCTTATTGAGAGCCTATACCCACTATGAAGTAGCTAGAATCTTTTCGATCAAGGCTTATTATTATTTCGAAAAGATTGCAGAAAATTATATATTTTTTATTTTTTCATCCTAGAAAGAAGTGGTCCACGGTACACCCTAATATATTAAACTATGCTAGATACGTACATACATACATACAACATACATACATACATACATACATACATACATACATACATACATACATACATACATACATACATACATACATACATACATACATACATACATACATACATACATACATACATACATACATACATACATACATACATACATACATACATACATACATACATACATACATACATACATACATACATACATACATACATACATACATACATACATACATACTACATACATACATACATATTTGTTCATACATACATACATACATATTTGTTCATAAGAAATATTTGAAAAATTCTCAGTGTAGACACATTTCTCTTTGTGTTTTAGAATGAAGCCAAGAATTTTACTATGAGTTGTATAGCAAAACACTCATATTGAAGATTATAATGAGTCTTTGACACCTTCATGAATTGTGTGCGGCCAACGTTCATTTATACGACGTCTTACGCATAAATAATAAATCTCAACTACACATTAAGTAACTAAACATGTAGAGAAATTGTGAGTAGAAAAATGAATTTTAAAAATAAAAAAAAAACTTAGTAAATGAAGCATGTTGTACGACAATTCCTTTAAAATGAATTAATCCAAGAAGCCAAAAATAAACACAATTGTCAGCCGAATCGTACAAACTGCTCACCCAGACATTTAGTCCGACAAAGACATTCGCAGTGACAACGCGCAAACGCACAAAAATTAAAAAACGCAGTTGTATGCCTTGTTAAAGAAAACGCGATTTTAAGAGGAACGAACGCATGAACTAAATCAGTGTATAATAATTAAGTACATAATAATACAATACCGCTAAACAACAACTCGTTTTCTTGTCGTATTAATTTACAAAAACAACACGTATGTATTTAAGAATATTTCAAAGTAAATCGGAAATCAAACATACGAAGCATTTTGAACAAAATTTTGGCACAAGATCTCAAGGAACATCAGAACGTTGCGGTTGCGCAAACTGAAAGCAACTATATCGCGGAATAAAATTGTGTACAAAAAATACCAAAAAAAGTGAATTGAAATTACGACACTAGTGTTGAAAATAAGGTTAGAATAATAATAAAATAATAATACAAAAACAATAATCCTTTATACTTATATAGTATATTTATAATATAAAGAACATCAATTTATATGAACATATTCCTATACTGTTAAATTTTAACTAAAAACTTATTTTTCATTATAATACGAGTATATACATATGTATATGTATGTACATATATATGTACATATTTATAAACAAATATTTTGTTTAAATGCTTTTCAAAGTCAAATACCTTTATGGTTTCTGCATTCTGACTTTGTGAAGCGTCAGAATGAGTGAGCCGTGTTTAAGTTTGTAAGTGTGTTTGAAAATTGCATTTTCTGATTGGAATACTAATGATCTTCGCTTTGAATCATAAGTACTAAGATGTCCAAGCAGCCATTCACTACCGTTTATTTGACCACATATAAAGTGGCACTTTATTTAAAAATATATCGATTAAATTGACAATTTAAGATATCAACAGACACTCTACTGTTTATTTTTGAAGTTCTCCATATTCATGTATTTATTTATAATAAACATTTTCTTTTCTACTCATTTCACATCTCACCAATTGATGTACATACATACATACATACATACGTATGTGATGGTATATTTTGATAAAGTTCCACATAATTCTTCTTAGAAAGTAGTGCATTTGGTCAAAACTGCATAAAATGTGAATCAATTGTCATGCATTTATTCACGTTTATCTACGATACGCCATAACCCGAAACTTTCTACGATGCAGTAAATAGTGAATATTACAATTAAGGAAAAATCAAATACAACGACATTGTAAAAAAATTATATAATTTATTCACGTTTATTTTTTACCAAAAATATAACAAAAAGTAAAAGTTATATATGTATGTATGTAGGTAACTAAAGCAACAAAACAATGTTTTTTAATATTACAAAAATATTAAACAATTATGGTTGTAATAGTTATGTATGTATTTAGCTGCAAATATATTTAAATTATTAAATAATAACAATTATATTGAAATCAAACCCATATAGAGTACTTTAACCGTTCAATACAAAACATACCCCAATTTATATGGCAGTTGTAGTTGTAGTTTGTAGATTTTTTATTTGGATACAATTTTTTCATAAGATAAGTACAAGAATATAATTTAAATAATAAAACTTAAAATTGTAATAAAACGTTTTGTCCGATAACTTTTGTGCATACCCGGTTAAGTTGGGTATTGACATAACGGTTTTTCGAGTTTAATATTTTATATATTAAAAGGAAAATAATGAGAAAACTTAAAAAATGTCTGAAATTTAAAGGTACATATGTATGTGATTAAAAAATATTTAATTTGTTTCTTAAATACGTTTTACTGCATTATTTGAAAAAAATATTACTAAGTGATAAATTAGAAATGTGTAAATGTTGAACCAGCCATATAAATTGTATGACATACCCGGGTATGTTGGGTATTGAAAACATAAATTTAGTATGTAAAGTGAGTATGTTAAAAATGTGGATTTTTTTAATAATAAATCATTTAATTTTTCATGCAGAATTTAATCGTGATATTAGTGCTTATAAGTCATTTTCTGAAGGGGACTTTAAATGGGGACTAGGGTCAAATGAGGCCCGATTATTACGAGACTTACATATATAAAACTAAGTTTTGCCGATTTTAATCATTTTCCGTAGACTTCGTCCTTGGGTCAAAAGAAGTGTATGTGCCAAATTTTATTTCACATGGACACACAGATGGACGTACATAGCTAAATCGACTCAGAAAGTGATTCTGAGCCGATTGGTACACTTTAAGTTGGGTGTAGGACCAATATTTTTGGGTGTTACAAACATCAGCACAAACACATAATACCTTCCCCACTAAAAGTGGTATAGGGTCAAATATTGTACGTATAATAGTTCCACTTCAATGTCCATTCGTTTTCTTCTTCATAATTTTTCATTTATTGTACAAAATCTTCGAATGAAAAATTCATTAATTTAAATCATCACGTAATACAAAGTAACCAAACTAGATTTTTTTCAAATTCTAACGGAAAAACAACATTACTTAAAAATTACTTGCAAACCAACAACAAATCGGATCTTGAATAATCTGGACAACAAATATGTATGTAAAGTGGCATTAAAGCATACAGGATTTACATACTTAAATTTTATGGTACATATTAGGGTGATCGATTATTCGACATTTTCCCAAAAATCGGTTTTCAAATAATTGACATTTAAAAAAAACCGTTTGACATTTTTCACTATTAATAAAAAGGTCTTTAAAAATGCAAAAATTAACATTCGAGTTTAAATTTGTTTTAAAATTTTAAAATACAGACTTTAATATTTTTTTTTTTAAATATAAGTATAAAATTATTAAAGTATGCATAATTTTACTCTACTTAGTCATATGTAATGAATAAAATTTCTTCATCAAAATCGGTTCATATTTGTAAATCCTACGGGGTCCAAAAGAGATTTCACCTACAAATTTATTAACTATGACACGTTACTCTGTATTTTTGAAAAAATTGGTATTTAATTCAAATTTTTTCATAAGATAAGTACAAGAATATAATTTAAATAATAAAACTTAAAATTGTAATAAAACTTTTTGTCCGATTATCGATTAGCCGTTTTTTACTATTAATAAAAATGTCTTTAAAAATGCAAAAATTAACATTCGTGTTTAAATTTGTTTTATAAAAAAATTAAAATCTAGACTAGATTATAATTTACATTATTTCTTTAATGTATAAAAATTAAGAAAAAGTGGAACACATTGAAATTAGGTAATTCTAGTTTATTCTAAAATCCTTTGGTGTTATGATAAAAGTTTTCTTAAATTATCAGCCTCAAATTTAAAGTATTCTTCTATCAACAATTTCCATTTATTCCGATAAATTTTGCGATTAAAATATTTAAAAAATTTGGAAAATTAATCCATTTTTCAAAAGCTCCACTTGAAAAATCCAACCTGCATCCAACATTTTTAAAATTAGGGTGGCTGCAATATTAGGTCCTTCATAAGTTTAAGTATCCATTGAATACAAAGCAAATAAATGTATTCGAAACCTAGTTTTCAAAGTAAAAAACCGACAGTAGTAAAACAGATAAAACCGGCTGAAAAACTGAGTCGATCACCCTAGCACATCAAGGTTTAAGCTTAACCAGTTGTTGTTTAAATTCCTTTATCATGGAATATTATAATTTAAAGTTCTTTGATATCAAACGTATACAAACACTTTAAATTTTACTGTATTCGTGCAAAATAATATTTCTCTGATTAAGCTCTAAAGAACTTTTTTTTCAAAAATATAAAAGGTAATTGTCAAAAAAAAATGTTTATTGGAATTAAATTGGAAGATAATAAATAGCCTATTCTAATCCAAAATTTAATTTTATTTGATCAATTAGTTTTGAAGATTAAAAATCGGTCGATTTTGGTCGGTTCAACCTTTATGTATATAAAGCATGGGCCTAAATGTTTTTCTTATTTTTAAATTATTACTTCAGATATAGTCTATCGATTTTCGTTATTGCTTCGCTGTATGATAACTAAATTATCTACATACTGATCTATACATAATATATTTTTTATATTATTTTAAAAATTTCTAAAACAATTAGTCATATGAATCATAGTGAACCCATAAGATGATTCAAATATTTGATGTATTTATGTATCTATACATGGGACTAATAATCAATTTGTTATTGTTACGACAGTTAAAACAAGAAATCACTTAAAAACAATATCTTTTGTTATGGAATACGTTATCAGAGTTTCCAACCCAGACACATTCGATAAATTATTGAATAAAATGAATCATGTTTTTAACAAAAATTTATTAAAGGAAACTCTGATTTTATTTTATTTGTTGTCTCTAAACAAAGAGATTAAAAACGATGGGATTAATTTATATGCCTTTTTATATGTACATACCACAAAAAAGAGGGACAAATATACGATAACAATTGTTCGGGAATATACTGTAAGTTATTTCCAATAATAGAAAATGAATACAAAATAAACAGTAGTAGTTGATCAAAATAATTTTTAACTCTTCATATGTAGTGGGTATATAAGATTCGGCACTGCCGAATATCTCATTCTTACTTGTTAATATTTATTTCACACGATTGTCAATAGATAAACGATTAATTCAATAATTACTTTCTATCTTTTACTCCAGTTGAAAAAAAATTTCTCGTTAAATCACCTTCAACATTAACAAATTTATTTAAAATAATTAAATGCATTTATTGCCATTTGTCCTAAAACGTCGAACGCAAATCAAATCAAACGTACTGAAACTACATACATACATACATATGTATGTACTTATGTATGTGTTACTTTTTTAATTGATTTAACTAGTATATATGTATGTGTGTACACTTTGTTCTCTTCAATAATATTGACTTTAGAAAATAAAAGTTTTTATCAGTAATTCATGACTTGTCTTTTTATTTCTTACCTTGAGTATCGATTTAGTGTCTTGTATTGAAAACGTACTTACTATTTAAATGCGGTATTGGACATTCAAAAGTCATGAACTGAATTTATTACACATAACAGAAACACTCATTGTAGGATTTAACTGTCAGATTTTAGAATCGATTTTGCACATCTTTAAAATTGGGCCATTACTTTCATTTAAAGAAAATAAATAAAAAGGTAAATAGAATCATTCAAAGAACAAGATTTTATTTCAATGTGAAGGCACATATACAATTTATATATGTATGTACATACATACTATGATACACTTTTTATTTATTTTGTTTTACAATATGATTGTTGCATGTTAAATTCATGAATTTAGTAATTGGTCTTAGATTAATTTTGTTATTATGGGTTTTAAAACAACTAGTTTCTAATATGTATCCTTAATTTTTTTCATTATGATTTAAATAAAAAACTTTCCAATAGAAAGTATACATTTAAATCATAGACAGAATCGGATCAAATTTATTATTTGATAGTTTTATCTATTTTTAACTCCATATACATATGTA